AATCGCACTTCTTCGTTTGTAGCTCTTCCCATTCCCTCATTCCGTACGTTCTTTCCGCTGTCCACACCATATTCGAGATAGGATGCTTCCCCAACTTCTCCTCTACCTCCATCACCCTCTTTCTTGTTTCTGTGATACACTGCAATCCTGGAATACATGTTTATGTGTTCAGAGATAACCGTCAGTCCCGCATCCATCCAATCCGCCTTTGAGTCAAAGTATTGTTGTGCTATTTTCCACTGTATCAAAAATAGTCCACCCAAAGTTGTACGCCCTCCTCTCGATTTTGGGTGTTAAGCCTGAAGAAACACGGTCCTCTCTCCAAATTTGCGTCCACTAGTAAGTCCAGCAGAACCGGCTTGTGGTCTGACATGCCGCGTTGACTTCATCTACCCTCTGTACATTGCGCGTCCTCTACTGTCAGAAAAAAGTTGAGGCGCCTCCTTCACGTTACCCCTTCATTGTTCGGTGTTGTTCCAAACCAGGTGTATCCTGAGGAGTCGGGGTCGATATCTTTGAAGATATCCCTCAGATTGCATCTTGTCATCCATTGGAGTAGAGTCTTCCGATTTCTTGATAAACCCTCTTCTTTCTTTAAGTTTAGACCAGACAAACACACCATATTCCAATCGCCTGCCACCACTAGTTTATATGATTGAGGAAGTTTCCTAGAGAGCATCTCAATGAATTCGATCATGTCCAAAGGATCATTCGGGTCATAGACATGTGCAAAAATCCAATCCTCTTCCCCTATCCCTATTTTGATCCATGACCATCTCACCCACATATCACTATCGTAATCTATCAGTTTTGTGTCTAGTCTACTATGCACCAGCACGACCACTCCTTTCTTCGATCCCCTTGCCGGGCACCGCAGTTGTGGCCCATCCCTCCAGTCCCGCATTTGAACCAGCTTCTCTTTTGACAACTTCGTTTCTTGCAGAAACATAATGTCAATTCCTTTCTTATGCATCCATGATTTGAGTCTTCTGCCGTTCCACCTTCCTCTAGAATCCCCCAATCTAAGGACCATAGGCAATGTGTCCTGCAGCAAACGCTTGGATCGGCGGATCAAGAATCAGGTGGTCTGGTCACCTTAAAGACAACACTCCTGCAAAATACGAAGACGTCATATTTCTCCTTCGTTGAAGCTTTGCGTTCAGCCCTGCTATGAATGCTCCGGAAACACCAGTTTGAACTTGAATCTTAGCAAGGTCGTCCACTTGTTCAGATGCAAAAATCCTGAGGGGAATTGCTTATAATCCTATCAGTGGCAACACTCTCTAGTGTTCCTCCGGCAGTCAGACATCCAGCAAGGGGATTGAAAACTTCAGTTTACATCCCTCAGATGTTTTCACCATCATCTTTGGCATAACGTCTTCAGGGACTAACAAAAATAATAACTTATTGCCAAATAATTCCCCCACCTTCTCCTCGATCGATTGTTCCGAAGGGAACTCTATCATCTCTGTTGAGGGCATAATAGCCTGATTGTCTTCCCCCTTCAAAGCAATCACAAACACTTCCTGCCTAAATAGCGAACAAACAAACGGTCACGGTAGTAGAATCTTCTCTTCATTCTCTCTTTCCTCTCTCCATACATTCATCACCCCTTCGTGAATGTCTCTTGGTGAATCCAACTTTGAATCCTGTCTCTCATCCATGTTAACAAAACTGCCATGGTTGGACGCTACCTCCTCTCTTGCCTCGTCTACTCTGGCTTGCCTAGCTACCGCTTTCGTTCCTCTCCTTATGCCATCTTCCCTTATCTTTAGGATTCTTGCCACTGGCAGTGTGGAACCAACATCGACAACGTTCACACCACTTCGTGTATTTGCATACAAATTCAATATTCATTGTCTTTGTGTCCGAGAGGCAAAGTGGCAATTAAGGTTCGAACCTCTCTTCTGCTTCCGGGACCAAATCGAATTTAAGATTCATCAACTTTGGTCTTGACGGATCTGGTTGAGGTAGGAGTGCATTAATCATCTCCCCCATTCCCTGTTCCACCATGTCCACCACATGAGGCATAGCTGTAAGCTTTGTCTCCTCTTCCCTTCTCCTCCTTTCTTCGAGTTCCAATCGCATCATCCACGATTTAAATAACATCTTATATTCGACCGGTCCCACTCTAACCGCGTCTTCTGCCTTCCTCACCATCCACTCTGCCACTTCCCTAGTCATTGCCACATATGACATGACATTGGGACCTTCGACACGGACTCTTCCGCGTCGTGGCGTTCTGGCAAAAGTCCTCCTTGTCCAACCGTTCTTGTAGGCTTTGATTACATCTTCTCTAATCTTCACTGGTAGTGATCTAGCCTCTCCTCGGAAGACGACTGTGACGGTTCGTTCTTTCAGCCAAGTTGTAGTCGAATCTCCAACCCGTGTATCCACCTTGAAGATGCGAGTACCGTTCTCCACGATAAATTTGCCTTGTTTAAAACGGTGTGGGACAATCCCATCCTCAAAGCAGTTTGCAATCACGAGTTTAATGTGTTCCTCCTCCGAGACTGGTATCTCTGCCTCGCCCGGGGGAGAAAGATCCCGCCCCGATCCTGGCTGCATGACGAGCTGCCATAGTACTGCACTTTTATTGCACAATATAAAAATAGAAAGGCACCTCTATCACTACCCTACAACCATTCCACAACTGCACGCGGCGCGGCGCCCTGCCTCGGGCGCTCGCTCAACACGACAAACACTTCTTACGCACCAAACATAGCGATGGAGTCAGCTAGGACAACTTGCTTAGGCCAGCCGACTACTCCCTTACCGGAGAGGTGTTGACGTCACCCGCCCTTGTACCATCGTATTGGTGGACCCGAGGTGCAACCGGACCGGGGCTCGGCCGGTAGCTCTATTTTCGAGCGCTATTCAGCGCGGTCCACCACGGCCCCCTGGGCCCCTCCCTTTTCCTTGCTTTAGGGTTTTCCCTTTTCCTTGCTTTGTACTGGATTGGTAATATGCAAGCTGAGTAACGTGGGATCACCCCACCGGCTTTCCGTCTATCCCCGGCCTCCTGCCCGCGCGGTCTCCAATGGGTTCACATTTTGCATTAGCGCAACGCTTCTCGTTCGTCCACGTGGCCCTGCGACTTGTCGTGGCCCGAATCGACAGGCGCTCTCGACGTGTTCGCCGTAGCAGTGGGTCCGAGTCGCAACTTTCCCGACCGAATTATGGACTGTTGAAACTGTTCAAATTATGGTATGGAATTACGGACTGCTGAAGCGTTACAATACAACAACCCCCAATTCGAACGGGCCTACCTCAGACAGATGGTACACCCGGGCCGAGGTCCCACTGGCAAAGAGGTTCGGATCGAATGCCCGAATCTGGACGTGTTTTATGCAGAGATGCACAAAAGCAGTTCAATCTCGATTTCCTGCACCTGTTTACAAACACGTCCAGATTCAGGCATTCGATCCGATCCTGTTTGCTAGTGGGACCACGCCCCAGTGGACTGTTGAGAAGCAGACGTATGAAGAGAAAGAATACAACAATTCTGAATTGGCGGGGGCAGGTCAGTAGTTCAATGATGGGCCTCGCTCCACTACTCACCGTTCGCACATTAGACAAAAAAATGGCGGCGTATCTCCCCATGTTCTAGCGGAAGATGCATTCTCATTTTGCACATTTCGCGAGTAGCGGAGCGAGGCACGTCGGTTATTTTAGTATTATTACGGGGAACCCATTAGCACCCACCGGCCCGCCGTGCTCTAGCCTCCAACGAGGGAACATGCGGGAGCTGCACCCACCAGCAGGTGCGATACCTGCTACAGCAGGTGGGCGATACTGGCCAGGGGTCAGCCGGGAGCATCAGGACCGAGCTTCTTCGATGGGCAAGTCACTGTGCCTCCCCCACCGGTCCCCGGCCCCCTATGAACATCAGCAGTCTCTGCTCAATGCCACTCGGGGGGACCAACCAGATTTGACGGGTTTAGAAAAAAGAAAAAAAAGAAAAAAAGATTCATTCATGTACGTCATTTTCACAAGGCTGGAGCCGGGGCTAGGTCCCACTTGCACGAATTAAGAGATAGGGACCGTAGATACCCGAGATCAACGGCCGAAATCTCCTAGTCCGTGCAAGTGGGACCTTGCCCCCGGGCACGCCACAGTGACTGGAAAAGGCGAAAGGAGACCACAATTCGCAAGGGGAACTTGGGCGGGAGGTCTGGACCGGCGACGAATGGAGTGGGAGAGGCGTGAGCGGGAGATCGATTTGCACGGAAAAGGGAAAAACTTTAGAAGAGTGTTTCCTGTGGATTGACAATTCGTCACAGCAGCGGCAAACAGTGCAAACGAGACTTCCAAAGTAAAAGCAACAATGAGGTGGAATTTCAAATATGCCAGGAAATTCCCAGCAGGAAGAGACCAATAGAGTAGCACACAGGAAATGTTCAGAAAAAAAGAAAAAAGCACAGGAAAAGAGAAAACAAGCAGACACGCCAGCAGGCAGGCAGCTGTGCGCATGCATATCCAGGGAGAAGAGAGGCAAGTGGTCTGCCAATCAGGAAGAGGGAGAGGGTGGGGGGGAAGGAGAGAACATCCAGCTCACGCTGGGACTCACTGGAGCTGAGGTAGTAATCTCTGGGTAAGAGCGGAGAAAGCAGTCGTTCTACTATCGTTACTCCGTGTGTGTGTGTGTGTGTGTGTGTGTGTGTGTGTGTGTGTGTGTGTGTGAGAGAGAGAGAGAGAGAGAGAGAGAGAGAGAGAGAGAGAGAGNGAGAGAGAGAGAGAGAGAGAGAGAGAGAGAGAGAGAGAGAGAGAGAGAGAGAGAGAGAGAGAATATTCGTTCTAGGTTCGGAGGTATAGGTAGGAGTAAACAGCGACCGTAGGCGTGTGCATTTCGCTGTGTATGTTTGAAAGCGCGCTCGAGAGAGAGAGAGAGAGAGAGAGAGAGAGAGAGAGAGAGAGAGAGAGAGAGAGAGAGAGAGAGGAGGCTGGGATGACGGCGACGTCAGTGGCGTGGGGGTTGACATCGGTTTGATCGTGTTCGGGGGAAGGAAGAGAGTAAGGAAGCAGAAAGGAGGAGAAGGGAGTGGAAGTGCAGAGAGGTAGGACTGAGGAAGCGAGGCGACGTGAGGTTTTGGGCCCCCTAGCAAACTAGCGATGGCGTCGGCAAATCCGCAAGTCGCAGGAGGTGCTGGCTCTAGCGAAGAGGAAGGAGAGGAGAGGAATGTGATCCTGTATGAGAAATTCAAGCTAGTGGAGTGTCGAATGCAAGATGGAAACGAGAACGAGGTACCTATGCCAACGCCGCAGAATAAGCTTTCTAATCCTCCCTCCACTCCTCTCCCTTCTCCTACTCCTCATCCTTCTCCTTCTCCTCCTCCTCCTCCTCTTCCTCCTCTTCCTTCTCTTCTCCTTCTTCTCCTCCTCCTCCTCTGGGTTCTCGTCTCCTTCTCCTCCCCCTCCTCCTCTTCCTCCTGCGCTTCACCTCGCTTCGGAGTGCGCGTGCCTTGCTCGTAATCCTTGCCCTCCTTTGTGTCATTGGCGGCTCGCCGTTGTCATCTTCGTCCTTCTCCTTCTTTGGGACACCATGTTTCTTCCGTCTTTCCAACCTACTTTCGCGCCGTTTTCTCCTCCCTCCTCCTCTTCGTTTGCACATCTTTCTCCACTCTTCCTCGTTCTCATGCACTATTTCATTTCCCCTTTTTCCACTCCTCTTCACCTATTTCCCTTCTCCTCGTCCTCTTCTCCCTCTCTAACCGACTTTCTCTTTTCGTAATCGTTCCTTCCTGCTCATCTCTTCTTCCTTGTCTCCTTCTCCTGATCCCTTCTTCCTCTCCAGGGCTCTCCTTGTTGCTGTCTTCTTCGTTTCGTCCGATTCCCTCCCCCTCCTTTTCTTCCCGCTCCGTCTCCTCGATCCTTTCCCTCATCCGTCATCCGTCATCCCTCTCTCTCTCTCTCTCTCTCTCTCTCGCGCGCGCGCGCGCGCGCGCACTACCCTGCTCTACTCTCACAGGCGTCGCTTACACTCTCTGAATGTCTTCCCGCTCCTTCCCTCTCCTTCCCTCTCCTTCCCTCTCCTTCCCTCTCCGCCTACTTCCATCTCCTCTGTACGTTCTCCTCCTTCCCCCCCCCTCTACCCCCCTCCTCTCCCCCGCTTCCCTTTGCCCTCCCCCTTCGTTTTCCTTTTCCACTCCACGTCCCGTCGTTTCCTACTTGCCCTCTCATCTCATAATCCGCAAGGATTGTCTTCAGTTCCACCTATGTTTTTTTCCCCCTTTGCCCTTCCCCTTCCCCTTCCCCTTCCCTTCTTCTTCAGAATTTCTCCTTCACTGCCACCTCCTGCTCGCGATTACCCCTTCTTTTACCGTCTGTTCCCCCCCCCCTCCCCCCCCCCCCCCCCCCCCCCCCCCCCCCCCCCCCCCCCCCCCCCCCCCCCCCCCCCCCCCTTTTCACCATCACACGCTATGGCTTCCGCAGGCGATCCCATCTGTCTTGCTTTTCCTGGTCTTTCATTTTATTTTATTTATTTTTCCCCTTCCTCATTTCCACCTCCTGGTGGTGCCGAAAGGCGATCTGGGGGGAAGCCCACTGAGGAGTGCCAGGAGCGCAGCCTGGCGGAAACGAGTCGGGGAATGTCTGCGTTTCTACTGAGAACTGTACGTGCGGAAGAGTGATGATTATATTATCCGTATTTGCATCTGCGAGAAGCAGTCTATGGCCACTCGCTGTTTTCACTTTTTTCCTTCCTCAGTTCCACCTTCTTTTCTGCGGAAGATGGTCTGTACTGGCCCAAGGACAAGAAGAAAAGGAGTGCAGACCAGGGAAAGCAAGGAGTGTTTCGTCGGGTTCTCTGCGACTCTGTCTATATATAAAACAGGGGGAGTTGTAAGGAAGAAGATAAAAAATGAATTGATATCTTTTTTGTTTCCTTTTGTTTTATTCGCTTTTGCGCTCTGATATTCATGTCACGATATATGCAGTACGTACGTGGAAGTTTTTAATTTTTTTTTGACATCAAAAGGCTCCGCAGCACGTGCTGGGAAACGGGCCCAGCGTCCCATGTGAAATATACAAGTTTGGAACATTTGGTTGGGCCCAGCGTCCCAACCAAATGCGATTCCAAGTACGTACGTGGATGTATGCCCGACGCGCAAAAGATATGTGTATCTCTACGTATCAAGCATGCTCAATATCTATATGTTCATTTTTTATGATGGATATGTGTCTGCGCAATGTGTTTATGCACGTGTGCGCAATATGTATATGTTCGTATCAATAGGTATATGTGCAATAATCACGGGTGCATGTATGAACGCGCAATATGAATGTTTATACCTACTATGTGGTTATATTTGGGTCTGGATATAATTGGATATATTTGGATGTATATATATATTGTCACAGTCCCTCGTTTGTTGTCCTCTTCTCCGTCTCTCCCTACAGTTTACCGTTCAGCTCTGTTTGACGATATATTACGTTTTATGGATATACATGTACGCCCAATATGAATATATCAGAACCAAAAAAACACTGTCTACTCGTTCTGATACGCAGTTATGTATCTGTACCTATTATTTGCGAGCAATGTTTATATATACCAACGCGCAATATGCATATACTATATTTATTTATATATATATACCGTCTACCAGAACTGTCCGGTAAACGGTAGGCGGCGAGGGAGAAGAGGACAACAAACGAGAAGATATATATACGTATATGCTATGTATATGTATGATATTATGTATATATATTGTCACATGAAAATGAGAGCGCAAAGGCGAAAAAAACAGAAGAGAACAAGAAAAAAATAATTCGTTTTTTTATCTTCTTTCTTACAACTCCCCCCGTTCAGAACCTCTTGCGTACAAGGCCGCCCACGTGGATGTAGGTTATATATATACATGTTTGGTGACAGATATAGAGACAGATTCTTTGCACAGATGGGCAGTTTCGTACGGTTTCGTGTTGCCTGTCCGGAGATGTGGAAGGGAGATTTGTCGCTGTCTGTACGGGACTCGTCATCAAGCGATTTGTGCCTGATACGACTGTGATGCCACAGCCGAAGAGAGGAGGATGATTATTCTCGGCTGTTTTGCTGTTGATGGGCAGCATTGCTGTCCTGTTGTTGCTTTGCGAAGGAAGTCGTGTTAGCGGGAGGTCATCCTCTAGTGTTTATCAATTTTTAGTCTGGGGAGCAAACGAACCCCCTCCCCTTCCCCCCCCCCCCCCCCCCCCCCCCCCCCCCCCCCCCCCCCCCCCCCCCCCCCCCCCCCCCCCCCCCCCCCCCCCCCCCCTACACACACACACACACATAACCTCGTTTACCTTCATGTGCGCTCAAGCGGATTTTGTGCATGTGTGGATCTTCGTTTACCTGGAAGAATGTGAGCGTGCGCGCGCGCGCGTGTGTGTGTGTGTGTGTGTGGCGACACACACATAGAAGCGGAGAGAGAGAGTGAACTTGCAGTGTACGAGAGAGAGAGTTGCAGTATGCGCAATGGATCGCGCCTTGTTGATGTTCCCTTTGCTCCTCCTCTTGGCCTCCGCCGTTCGTTGCGTTTCCTTGAAGCATCCACCGTGAACTGCCGTCCTTCCCCGAACACAACGCGCCCTCATCATGACTATATTAGACCGGAAAGATCACCCTAATCATCACTGTATGTATCGAACTGGAAAGATCGCTTGTATACGTTCATGATCTGGACGTGTTTTGTTTGATATCAAACGGTAGTGCGAAGAAGAAGGTTTATGAGAGGTGTGGCTTAGATAACATGAAACCTCCATTAAAAAAAAAAAAAAAAAACCCATAAAACCAATCTTACCCCGAACGCAATGCACCCTCAGTGTGACTGTATCTGACCTGAAAAATAGGTAGTAGGGCATTCATAGTGACCGTGCGTTCTATTTGGGGTGGGGGACACTGTAGTTCACAATTGGCAAGGCGCCCAGCTCGTCCTACGAGCTACCGTCTTCCCCCGAACACAACGCACCCTCATCATGAGTGTAGAGGACTGGAAAGATGGCTTGTGTACATTCACCGCACTCTCATCACGAGTGCAAGAGAGGACCGGAAACATGGCTTTGTACATTCTTTGATGATCGGGATTCGTTTTGTATAGGGGAAGACAGTATTAGGGCCTAGTTCCACTGCTCGCCATCCGCCAACATTTTGAATGCATCTGGACAAATTTGAGTCCAGATGCATTCAAAATGTTGGCGGATGGCGAGTAGTGCAACTAGGCCCTTGTTGCTATTGCTATTCATGTGGCGATGGTCATGCAGTCTCATGCTGCTGGTGTCCATGGGGGCATTCTGTCCTTGGACGATGCTGACGTCATCCTCCACGTCGTCCCCACGCCATTTCCACGTCATGTCCACGTGGTTAAGAGATTGGGCTTTCGAGGCCAAGGTTGCGCGAAAGAGGGCCTTAAGCCCACGCCATCGCCCACGTGTCATGTTCACGTCATGTGCACGTGGTTAAGAGACTTGGCTCTTGAGGCCTGGAGGCGCTCCACTGCTTGCCAATTTTTTTTCTTATGGATTCAAATACATTGCACAGGTCAAATCGAGGCCGCGGACCTCACAATTCTACCCGGAGTTATCCTGGCAGCCTCAGCCAGATTAGCTTTCGAGCAGGAGCTCGCCCCACTTCCATCAGCTTATACCCAGATCAACCAGGACCCGGGGCAAGGTCCCACTTGCGCCAATTAGGAGATTTGGGCCGTTGATCTTTGCTATCTAGGGTCAGTATAGCCCCCGGATAACAGACGCCAAGAAATATCTAGGAACAGGGCCGAGGTCCCACTAGCAAAAAGGATAGGATCGAGCTCCTGAATCTGGATGTGTTTTATGCAGAGATGCAGAAAAGCAGTTCAATCTCGATTTCCTGCACATCTTCAATAACCTCGTCCAGATTCAGGCATTCGATCCGATCCTCTTTGCTAGTGGGACCATGCCCCAGAAGTGGTGGCCAAACCTAGACCGCTTGTCAGCCAACCTTTGCCAAACCGCCAGCTTCGCACTTTTTTCCTTTTTTGGCTGCCACCGCCAGCCATTGTGGTTCGGTAGGCCCCAGGCATGGAATTTTTGGAGTAGGCGACGACACATTTGCTCCAAGGCCGGGGCTGTGTAGTAGCGGTCTAAGGGGCTCGCTACACAGGCTTTCGAAACGTCCAAGGCTGGGGCCGTGTGGTAGCGGTCTAAGGGGCTCGCCTGTTCCACACAGGCTTTCGAAACGCGCAAAAGAGACGCTGTGTCTTTTGCCACACAGCTTTTCGAACAAATTC